AAAACAGTTCCACCAACTAGTGACTAAGCATTCAAAGGTATGAGCCCATGAGGGTGGGGGCATTCTTTTTCAAACAATAGCCAAGGCTGGCCTTAAATTTAGCCATGAGCCCAAGATGGTTGGCCTCAAATTCACAACCGTCCCACCTCAGCCAACAAAGTGCTGTGTTTACAGGTATGTGCCACAGTACCTGATCACTTCATGGAATACAGCGCTCCATCCCTTGACACGCTCCTGCCACTGACTCTGCCCTCTCTCCTGTCTCCCCCAGGTATGGTGTCCTTCCTTTTCTCCATGTCTCCATGGAATGGTCCATATGGGAGGGCTTTTGCTTTGTCTGTCAAGGCCCTTCTACCAGATACCCCAACACAACGGGACTGGAGAGATGGCTCAGCAATTATGAGCCATTGCCACTCTTGCAGAGAACCAGAGTTCACATCCCAAAACCCACATGGGGCAAATACCTGTAACTCCAGCTCCCAGAGATCCAATGCCCTCTTCTGTTCCCTATGGGCATCTATACATATATGCCCATACACATAAATAAAAATAAATCTTAAGGGCTGGAGAGATGGCTCTGCAGTTAAGAGCACTGACTATTCTTCCAGAGGTCCTGAGTTCAATTCCCAGCAACCACATGATGGCTCACAACCATTTGTAATGGGATCTGATGCCCCCTTTTAGTATGTCTGAAGACAGTGACAGTGTACTTATATACATAAAATAAATAAATTAAAAAAAAACTTAAACAGGTACATCATAATCAGTAAATACTTATTCAGTAAATGAGTAACTGACTTGTCCAAGTTGCATCCATTCTTGACTCCAGCAATAACACATTAAAAATATCCTTGGGTTTGATTAATTTGACGTTAATTTAGTGAAACCCTATGTTCAGAGAATGAACATAGAGAATGTCATTCCTGATTATTACAAATGACAACTAAAAGCCAGTCATGGGGTGCAGGCCTAGAATTGCAGCACTAGCACCAGGAAGGCTCAGGTTCTCTGGCCACCTCAGCTCCATAATGAGACCTTGTCTCAAACAAACAAACACAAAGAGGCAGCAAAAGGGCTCTGATAAAGTTAGAATGAGAATTTGGCAAAATCCTAGATGGATAAATTGCAAAGCAGATTTAAAAAAAAAAAATCAATTCAAAGCTTTTTAGTGCAGAGAAACCACAGAACATTTTAGGGCAATGATCTGCCGTGAGATGGCATAAAATACAAGTAACCTTTTTTCTGTGTGCCCAAAATAGAGAGGGAATCAGGCTCAGGATTCTGAATAAGATTCCTAGTGAGAGGGCCTTAGTGTCTTAAACCAGGGAGAAAACTTCAGGTACCCATTATAACCAGAATTCCAAATAAAGAAGAGACACTGCAGGGAGGGGGTGTGTTTACAATGCACTCTGGTCAGCTTGAGGTCAAGGGCTATCTGTTCTGCATTAGCCTTGTGATTAGCACATTGTGATCCTATCCATGTTTATACTTCCGGTCTGGAGTCCACATTGGCTAGAAGGGCAACCTGATGAAGGAATGGTCCTTACAGCCTCAGCAGGAGTAAAACCTAAATACATCATGTAGATTAGCATTTTCGGGAGAGAGTCTGGAGAGACGGATGGCTCAGCAGTTGGGAGCGGCTGCTGCTTTTCCAGAGGACATGACTTCAGTTCCTTCCCCGTGAGTTCCAGGTATCAAAACAAAAACCAAAAAAGCTGAAGTAAACTGAAGAGCTGGTCCAGGGTAAATGAGACCAGACAGCCAGGACCAACTGAATTCAGGGTCTGCTTCTATTATTATGTAGCTGGGGCTGGCCCGGAACATGCTCTGTGGACCAGGCTGGCTTCCAATACTCAGACATCTGATTGTTTCTGACTCCAGAGTGCTGAGGTTAGGGTTGTGAGCCTCCACACCCAGCAAGGTCTGACTCTTCATTAGCATCTGGACTTAAGCAGGACTTCTGATCGGGCTCTCTTTTTTCAGCTCACAGTAAAACTCTTTTCTTACTCTTTATTAGTAAAACAACTCTTTCTCTTGCCAAACAAAAACAGATACAAAGTAAAAAAAAAATCACAAAGGAGCCGGGCAGTGGTGGCGCACACCTTTAATCCCAGCACTTGGGAGGCAGAGGCAGGTGGATTTCTGAGTTCGAGGCCAGCCTGGTCTACAGAGTGAGTTCCAGGACAGGCAGGGCTACACAGAGAAACCCTGTCTCAACAAAACAAACAAACAAACAAAAAAGCCACAAAGGAGAAGCCAGAGGGAAAGAAAGATTGCTACTCTTGCAGAGGACCCCAGTTTGATTCCCAGCAACCAGGTCAGATAGCTCAGCCACTTGTAACTCCCTGCCTCTGGCCTGGGTGGGCACCTACACTCCTGTCCACACAACCAAACACATGCACATATTTAAAATAATATTTTTTTTTAAAAAAAAAAAAGCTATTTGGTGAACTGGAGAAAAATTTAAATAAAGCCTGTTTAAATAAACATCACTTTATCTGTGTTACAGATTTAAGAAGTGGTGTGATTTGGGGGCACTGTGACAGGACACACCCCTGGTTCAGAAGTTTTGACCTTAAGAATCATAAAGTGTCATGACTTCTGCATTATAGGAAGTTAAAATGTGTACACACAAGTGCATTGATGTGACCAAGACAGTAAGAACCAGAATAGTCTTGCTTTGCATAATGAGATTTCTATTAACCCAAGCCAAATATACAACTAACTGTGGCCCTATAATCTAAAGCAGCCTGCCATCTTGGCTTGTCTAACTCTACCTCTGATGGTCTCACAATTGCCTAATGAGCCTCAGCTTTTAAGCAGGCGGGTGACTTTTACCACCCAGCCTAAACATATGGATACTTGTTATTCTATGTTTCATGTTCTCAGGTTTGGAAAGATACCAAATAGTTAGGAGAGAAATAAGAAAATGAATAAGAATAGACTGATTGAATCCTAGGGAAGTATGAACCCTTCATCTTTTGGAGAGGGTCTCGAGAATGATTGTGTGTGTTTATTTGTAATCACTGTTAGATTTATTTATATGTATATTTATTTATTTGTAATCACTGTCAGGTGTGACACTAATACTTCTGGAAACAATCTGAACTTCCAGACTCTCCTTGTGGGTAGGATCACGAGCTAACATCTTCAGCTGCCACAAAACAAAAAGATAATAACCTTGTCGGCTACTACACAGGCAGGTCCCAGGTGTCCACCGAGAGGCGCCTGGCAGTCGCTGCCCAGCAGATGAGACTCACAGGTGTCTGGCTTAAGGCTGCAGTCAGCAATCCCAACCGGCGTCTTTTACAACGTCACTGGGCCAGTTTTTCTTTGCTGCAGTGTCCTAATACCCCTACCCCCTCCCACCCCCGCCTCTGTCGTGTTGCCTTCAAAAATCCAAAGCAAATAATCATGCCCTCCCCTGAAGGCCTTTATTAATGATCCCAGGGGATCATTCTCTTCCCCACAACTTTCTGAACTGTAGCACTTCTACGGGGTAACTGTAACTTCAAAAGCCCCTACTGGCAGAAAGGCGGCGGCGAAGCTCGCGTAGGAGCTAAGAGCAATTTAGAAGTTGTGTCTTAAGTTCTTCAAGTTGCGGGTGGGGGAACGATCAACAGGTTTGAGCAAGTGAGTCCTCCGTAGACAAGCTGGTGGGGAGATGGGTGTAGGTCAGAGTCAGAGGACAGGGTCAGCACACATGCTCTCGGAGGAAGTATACGAGCAGTCCCTAGGACTGGACAGCCTCCTCCCCAAGTGCGATTCCAGGGCTGCCTTGGCCTCACCCTGGGAGGCAGGCGACAGGTGCGCAGTGCGCAGGCGCGGGGCGGGGCGTACCTGGGAAGGAGCAGAGCGAAGTGGAGTTAGGGCACAGGGTCCCGTTGCCCACCCGCGGCACGAGCTTTAGGCTGAGGATCTGCTGCAGGAGCCCGGCTGATCCGCCGCCGCCGCTCCCCTCGCGCTCCATCCCGCCGCCATCCACCGCCCGGAGCGCCGGGGAGCACCGCACCTCCGCAGCCACGGCGTCACCTTTGGCCGGCCCTCTTCTCCCGCCCACTCCAACGGCGCTGCTATAGTAATCGTTTCTCCTTCCAATCACAGGGCGCCGCAGACGGAGGGGGCGGGGCAACGGTTGTTCCCGCCCTCTGGCGCTGCGTTCGATTAGAGAAACCCTCGGCATGTTGCGCCCCTAGTGGCTAGTCTCTCCTGCTCCGTCTGGGTGTGTTGGACTCTGTCCTTTACTTTAGTGCCACCTTTAAGTAGGACAAGTCCGGTGAGATTGCTCAGCAGGTAGAGGCGAGGCGCTTACCTCCAAGCATGAGGCATTTGCCTTCCATCCCTAGGACTCACATGGTGGAAGGTGAGAACCAACTCCCATGGGTTGTCTCTTTACCTTCGCATACACATACACTCACATAACTTAAAAAAATAGTGGGCAAAGATACAGCACCAAAAATAAATACATAAACAAATAGATATGAGGTGACCGGTAGCCTACTCAAATTTCTCTGTAGGGCTGAATATGAATTGACAGAACCAGCCTAGCTGCACAGTATCCTAGATTCCAACCCCAGTTGCTTAGCGTGTCAAAGATTGTAGGTTCGCTAGGCAGTGGTGGCGCACGCCTTTAATCCTAGCACTCAAGGAGGCAGAGGTAGGCAGATTTCTAAGTTAGAGGCCAGCCTGGTCTACAGAGTGAGTTCCAGGACAGCCAGAGCTACACAGAGAAACTCTGCCAAAAACAAAACCAAAGCAAATACAAAACAAAGCAAAACAGACTGTAGGTTCAATTTCTAAACAACCAACAAGCAAAAATAAGACTTTAAAAATGGACCACAAATTTTGTAAGTCGCCGAAGTAGAAACTTTTAGGAGCTGAAATGAAGAGACCTTCTGAGGCCAGCAAAATGGCTCAGCAAGTAAAGGTACCTGCTGTCAAGCCTGATGACCTGAGTTCCATCTCAAGGGCCTACATGGTAAAAGAGAACCCATAACTAACTGCAAGTTGTCCTTTGACCTTCACACTCCATGGTACAGGTTACCACACACATATTGCCATGGCTATCCCTGGGTGTAAACTTGACTACGTCTGGAATGAACTAAAACCCCAATGGCTGGCTAAACTTGTGCGGGATTTAAGGTAGGAATACCCATAATCTGGGCCTTTGAGGTGGGAAATCCACCTTTGATCTGAACCACACCATCTACTGGTTTGAATATGCTTAGCCCATGGGAAGTGGCACTTATTAGGAGGTGTGGCCTTGTTGGACTGGGTGTGGCCTTGTTGGACTGGGTGTGGCCTTGTTAGAGGAAGTGAATCTATCCTCTGATAGGCAAGCTTTGAGGACTCCTAGTGTTCAAGCTCCGCCTAGTGCGGAAGAGACAGTCTTTTCCGCTGCCTTCAGATCAAGATTCTCAGCTCCTTCTCCAGCATGCACGGTAGCTGCCATGCTTCCTGTCATGATGATAATGAACTGAACCTCTGAAACTCTAACCTAGCCCCAGTGAAATGTTTGCCTGTATAAGAGTTGCTTTGGTCATGGTGTCTCTTCACAGTAGTAAAACCCTAACTAAGACACTGGCATTAGAACATTAGAACCTATTTTGGGATTCCAGTGTATACTGAAGACCAGTGGAGTCACCCAGTCTCATGGACTAAACAACTCCTGGATTCTTGGACCTTCCACTGGTAAACAGCCATTGCTGGATTAGCTGGACCACTGCCTGTAAGCCACTCTAATAAATCATATATATATATATATATATATATATATATATATATATATAATTCAATAAATAATTTAACATATTCATTAATAAATGTAAGTTTTTTTCCTCTAGAGAATCCAGACTAATACACACATATAATAAATCAATAATTTTAAAACCTTTTGAGGCAGCTGCTTTTTTAGTAGATTTAGACACCTAGTCAGCATTTTAGATTTTGTAGGATTGTTGTTTTTACATGATAAAGTGAGCAATGCCAACAGCTTTTTCCCATAAGTGTGCTGTATCCAAGGAACACCCAGATGTTGCTCAACTCCCTCCCAAAGAAAAGAAGTTAAAAAAAAAAAAGTTGTGTTGGGGATATAGCTCCGACAGATGCCTTGTCTCATATGACTGCAGCTCTGGGTTTGATCCCAAGAACTACACAAAGGTCCCTAGAAGACTTCCAGGGAGAACCTGTAGATTGCCTATAAAGAAATGAAAATCTGGCAGTTTGACAGCAAAGTGGGAGGGCCTAGAAGGCAAAGCATCAATATTTTGTACTTTGAGCCTTTGATGTTTGCCTTTCCTAGTCATCCAATCCTCTCACTTCTCCTTTGGAATAAACTCCCACAACTTCTATTACCTTTTTGGTTTGTTTGTTTTGTGACGAAGTCTTGCTGAGTAGTCTTGTCTGGCTTGCAACCTTCTGTGCAAACTATGTCTGGCTTCTATTACCTTTTTT